AAATGAGTTGATTAATGATTGGACTGACGAAAAAAACCAACACTAACATCTTTAATTATATTTTAAAATAATCTCTTTTAAACGTATTTTAAAAATTTCAATAGTGTCTGCAAAATGTCTATACAAATGTCAATAAAGGTTTTGAAATATTAACATTTTTAGCTTCTAAAAGGTATTGTTGGTGTTTTAAAAAAAAAATGTGAAAAGAAAAAAAAAAGGATGATAGACAGATGTGTGTAAAATTAATCGCTAAAGATGACTGACTAAAAATAAACCGGGAGTAATCTCCCCTAAACTTTCTCCAATATTCTTATATGAAACAACAGGGGATGGCAACTCGGGATATAGACATGATTTTTAATCCACTTTATTAAATACTTACACTTTTTAAAATAGAGTAATATATTTCCTAATGAAAGTTTCAAAATTTTTAATATTCTCCAGCGGGGATAAGGTCATCTGATAAATTTTTCAACAACCATGGTAGGTTCATTGTAACAATTTTGCTATAATACGTCCACATTTTAAATACATTGTTTCTGCAGTTTTCAATACTCTAACACTAACCTTACACTAAAGCTTACACTAAGTCGTGACCGTTACTTAAGGTCCTTATCAAGGGCGTAGCGAGGGGGGGGGGGGGTGCGGGGGTGAGGACCGCACCGGGTGACACCATTTAGGGGGGTTACACCTAGGCAAAAAATAGCAAAATATATAGAGAAAAACTTGAGGGGGTAGCAAATCGAAAGTTTGAGGGGAGGGGGGGGGTGCAAATCGAAAACTTGAAAGTTTGTCCCCGGGAAGGGTTGCTACGCCTCTGAGGGGTGACACCATTAAGTGCCGCACCGGGTGACACCCGACCTCGCTACGCCACTGGTCCTTATCTTAACACTGACCCTATACAAGAATACTGACAAAATATATGGACTACGAGGCAATTCGTTTATTCCATCGCGTGCATATCCCTGACTCTATCAAGCATCTTCTCGAGGAGGGGAGGGGGGGGGGGGGTGGGCTCATCTATCGCCCTTCACCCCCGTAACGAAATATAATTCATAATTAAAATATATATTTCGAACAGTGTCCGCCTCCCGCCCCCAGGGCATTTAAGTCCGCCCCACCCATCGAAACTTTCAAGTGCCCTCCCACTCGTTAGTTTCAGGTACCCCCCCCCCCCCACCCCACAAGAGATAATGTTTGAAAGAAACAGTGCTCATTGCTCATAGATATTTAGACAGAATCCCACCTGCCCCGGGCAGATTCATATCTCGGGGCCCCAACACCTAGGTGGTAAGATAATTAAAGATTAACCTAGGCTTTATTTACTTTCTTGTTAATTCTAACATTATAGGCAATGACACATTTAAAACTGGCTTTACGTGCATACTTCACAAGAAACAAATTAGTTATCAGTCTCGTACACTAAGAACAAATTAGTTAGCACTTGTACATCAAGAACAAATTAGTTATCACTCTCGTACACTAAGAACAAATTAGTTAGCACTTGTACATCAAGAACAAATTAGTTATCAGTCTCGTACACTAAGAACAAATCAGTTATCACTCGCGTACATCAAGAACAAATTAGCAGTTGTACACTAAGAACAAACTAGTTAGCAGTTGTTCACCAAGAACAAACTAGTTAGCAGTTGTACACTTAGAACAAACTAGTTAGCAGTTGTTCACCAAGAACAAACTAGTTAGCAGTTGTTCACCAAGAACAAACTAGTTAGCATACGTACACTAAGAACAAACTAGTTAGCATACGTACACTAAGAACAAACTAGTTAGCAGTTGTTCACTAAGAACAAATTAGTTAGCATACGTACACTAAGAACAAACTAGTTAGCAGTTGTTCACTAAGAACAAATTAGTTAGCAGTTGTTCACTAAGAACAAATTAGTTAGCAGTCTCGTACACTATGAACAAATTAGTTAGCAGTTGTACAATAAGAACAAATTAGTTATCAGTCTCGTACACTAAGAACAAATTAGTTAGCAGTTGTACAATAAGAACAAATTAGTTAGCAGTTGTACACTAAGAACAAATTAGTTAGCAGTCTCGTACACTAAGAACACATTAGCTAGCAGTTGTACACTAAGAACACATTAGCTAGCAGTCTTGTACACTAAGAACACATTAGCTAGCAGTCTTGTACACTAAGAACACATAAGCTAGCAGTCTTGTACACTAAGAACAAATTAGTTAGCAGTATTGTACACTAAGAACACATTAGCTAGCAGTCTTGTACACTAAGAACACATTAGCTAGCAGTCTTGTACAGTAAGAACACATAAGCTAGCAGTCTTGTACACTAAGAACACATTAGCTAGCAGTCTTGTACACTAAGAACACATTAGCTAGCAGTCTTGTACACTAAGAACACATTAGCTAGCAGTCTTGTACACTAAGAACACATAAGCTAGCAGTCGTGTACAAACTCTTCAAAACACGAGATCTACCGATTCTACACGCTTTATAAATATTTTTTTTATTTTTTAAAGCATATGCAAATCATTGAAATTCAAGAAGTAAGGGAAAGTACTCTGCTCTTCACGATGCGAAGTCTTTTTCCAGTTAGCTTTCTTGATGAAAACAAGATGAAGCATACGATTTTAGTTACAACTACTGTAAACTATGATGCATTAATTGATTAATATTATTTACATGTTAATTTTAATCAGTTAAAAAAATATAATCAGCAGATAATTGAATGAGGTTCACAAGAATAACATTAACTCTACACTTACACACACACACTTTATATAACGATTTGTTTCCAGATTATAGCCAACAAATATACTTCACATATTTCGTTATTTGATCAACTTTAATTCATGATTGATAAGTTTTGTGTGGCAAATTGCTTTTCGTTTAATAGCCTGCTTTTTTTAGGCTTGATTAATTAAGCAGATGAAGTAGAGTCCATATGTTTCTTGACATCGGTATAAAAACTGGAAGGTGTTGTTAGCAATATGCCCAGTCGCCTTTACTTTCCCCATCGTATGTCAGGTACCCATTAAAGCTGGATGTACTCAGGGACGTTCTACAGTCACATGTCTAAAGCGAGCTCCGTACTCGAGACCATTGGCCCAGCAGCCAAATGCGCTACAATTCGACCACGCCATAGGATTAATCTTTGTGCGGCGGGTGGTTAACTTTATCCAGCACGCCAGGGGATATAACTAGTGTTTCGTATAGGAAATTTCGCATTTGAGTAGTTTCCCTTCGTTCTAGATGTTATGGATATTATCGTGTGAAAACAAGCTATTTGCAATTTATTCTGTAGACATACAAAGCAGTTTATTAGCTCGCTGTTAGTGGGTTTATAGTTATTTCCTTATCTAAATAAATGTGTCAAGTTACTATGACATCCACAAATAACATCGGCGTAAAGGAAATTTAAAATAAAAATGCAATAATATAAATAATGCTTGCTAGATAGCTTAAATGTGCCGTAAATATCTCCAATCACTTTTTAATATTTTAAATTTATTCAATACCGCTCTGTGTACACCAAACAGTATTCTTTACAATTTTTTATTAGAAAGTCTTTTAGATAATGCTTAATTGCTGACATTAATATTTATAACTCAGAAAAAAATTAAATTCGACAAATTACTTTTAAAGTTGTATTCTAATACAAAAATCAACAAGAGCACACTTTAACACAAGTCAGTTCTGAATCAAATAATATCTAGCTTGTATTTATTGCAGTCAATAAAAACAGCGCATAATGTTTACAAAAACAAATTTTTTTTTGTTTCCTCTGAAATGAACACTCTACAGATACCTATTGATAAAAAAAAACACATTCAAATAATTGCCATAGAATAGTTCACTATTTTGTGGAATCGAAAAAACAAAAATTAACAATTTTTCGTTTTTTAAAAACGTTGTTTTATAGCATTTTGTATTGTGCTACTGGATTGCGTATTTTAAAAACGTATAATCAACAGTATTCTCTTCACAGTAACTTTATATAGTAAATACCTCATAACCTATCACTTGTGTATTACTGCAGAATATAATACGTTGTATTAATTTAAAACAGGGAGATGTATACATTTCTATACAGTTGAAGGAATGTTAGAAGAATTTATGATAGGCAAAAATAAACATGAGAAAACGTTATATTATTGAATTATTAAAAGTTACACTAAAGAAATACTTTTTTAAAAATTTATTTGAGAAAAAAATAAGTTTAAAAACAGAAAAATTAATAGAAAAAATATAATGGATAACAGTAACATATATTGTTGTTACATGCATGTTTTGAATACATTGCACATTTAGTTAATTATCTACTTCTATTAACATTAACATAAGTAAGACATGCGCAGTTTATCGCTACCACGATACATAATATCACGACAGTAACAAAACTAAGGATTCGATTGCTTTCCCAAAGTTTACAATTCTCGTTTACCAATCAAAAAGCTTGTTTTATTTGAATTTACAATCAATTGACGAAAGAAGAATATTCCCGGAAATGCGGAGATACATTGGACGGAATATTTAAGCTTTAAACACGATTTGTTTCCCCTTTAGAGATAACTACTTAATGTTTATCAAACACATTTATATATGTTACAGATTATTACTACTTAATGTTTTTAAAACACATTTAACGGAAGTTATAGATAACTATTTAATGTTTATAAAACACATTTAACGGAAGTTATAGATAACTACTTAATGTTTATCAAACACACTTAATACAGGTTATAGATAACTACTTAATGTTTTTAAAACACATTTAATAGATGTTATAGATAACTATTTAATATTTATCAAACACATTGAACAGAAGTTATAGATAACTACTTAATGTTTATCAAACACATTTAACGGAAGTTATAGATAACTACTTAATGTTTATCAAACACATTTAATACAGGTTATAGATAACTACTTAATGTTTTTAAAACACATTTAATAGATGTTATAGATAACTATTTAATATTTATCAAACACATTGAACAGAAGTTATAGATAACTACTTAATGTTTATCAAACACATTTAACGGAAGTTACAGATAACTACTTAATGTTTATCAAACACATTTAATACAGGTTATAGATAACTACTTAATGTTTTTAAAACACATTTAACGAAGGTTATAGATAACTACTTAATGTTTTTAAAACACATTTAACGAAGGTTATAGATAACTACTTAATTTTTATCAAACACATTTAACGAAGATTATAGATAACTACTTAATGTTTATCAAACACATTTAACGAAGATTATAGATAACTACTTAATGTTTATCAAACACATTTAACGAAGATTATAGATAACTACTTAATGTTTATCAAACACATTTAACGAAGGTTATATATAACTACTTAATATTTATCAAACTAATTTAATAGAGGTTAGAGATAACTACTACTTTGATTTTGTAAATTATTTAATTGAGACAGATTATGCGACCCTATTATCAAACACTTTGGGTTTCTATGATTGTTTAAGTGGGTCTTAAAAATGTATTTGAAATTTTATGAACTATTTATGAACAAATATTTCGGTAGCCTCTGGACATTTTTTTTTTAGTTTTCATAATATTTGAACAACAAAAAAATGGGGAAAAAAAGATGCTTTGATAATGTCATCTTTCCGTAGCAAGATCAAATTTACACAGGTTGCATTTATTCCTCGAAAGAGCCTAATGTTGATGAATAAACAAAAGTTATCTACCCATCAGATTTGCTTCCCTTTACAAAAAAAAAAAAATAAAAAAATTACAAACACTAAAATTTTCTAATTACAATGTGTAATCAATCGACCTCTTTAACAGCATCAACCTCGTCTTTAGTATCACAATGACCAACACTCATCCATTCTCTGAGGTTATAAACTTTCCTTTGTATCTTCTTGGTGCTGAAGTATTCACATAGCATACAGCCTATCTGACCTGTATCATGCGACACGTACTTATCCTTCTCTTCAAGATACCTACTGTACCGCGTGAGATCCGAACCCAGGTCCTTGAGGTGGAGAGCCAAAGCCTCGGGCGTCGGAAAATCAGCCGTGTTGACGAAAGTACTCTTCGGAAAATAGGAATTGTACGGTAACTTCCCCAGCACGACGGGAATCACGTGGAGCTCTGGCTTGTAAATTTTGAAGAGTTTTTCCGTGACGTAATCGGTACAGAAAGAGTTCTCAAAGGCCAGATAGAACTTGTACATGCGCGGCAGGTCTGTCAGGCAGCGCTCACCACAGGACTCGCCGCAGGCACCGTAGATGTCCACGTCTATGTATTTCTGAAAGGTCACAATATATATATATATATATATATATATATATATATATATATATATATATATATATATATATATATATATATATATATATATATATATTTATATATATTATTGAAATTACAGAAAGGGATAAAAAGCGAAGCTAATAGACAACATTAATAATGAATGATATTCTTCTTCGATCTTAATTTAAGTTTTGGAAGGGATCCCCTCCAACACAATTAAGTGTACGTGTCGACTGGTTATCTGGTTATGCGCCATTGAGGCCATTGAATCCCATTTTAGCCTGATTTCTTTTTGGATTTGCATCCATAGACTTTGTCAACCAAGAAAAAACTACAAGGCAGCAGTTGTTTGATTTTTGAGTTGTCTCTCCTAGAAGAGTGGCTGTCCCCAGCTAATGATTCTCATTTGTCCGAGGGTTCGAACTCGAGACTTTTCGAGAGCTTTACCGACTCGACCACGCCGACCCCTTTCATATGCTTTGTTACTTTACATTTAAATAGATTATTATTTTGTTAAATAGCAAAATTTCGGTGACATTTCGGTTAAGCAACAAAGAGCTTTACCGACTCGTCCACGCTGATCCCCCTTAATGAATGATGAAGTTTGATAATGATTGGTAGTGATTAACATAGACTCGCCGTGTTCGATGATTTCAATATTGATTGATATAGACTTACATGGATCAGTGTTGATTCGTATTGATCAAGATTGACTGCGGGTGATAGTTTTTTTTTTCTTTTTTTTTTTTTTTTTTTTTTTTTTTTTTTTTTTTTTTTTTTTACACGTTTAGTTAAACTTCGGGTAACAATAGTGATCAAGGGTGTTTAACGGTGACCGAAGGTGATTAAAATTGAATATTGGTTACTCATCGTGATTGAATGCGATCAGTAGTGACCAAGAGTGATTTTTATTGATTGATGGATAATTGGGGCCGCGTGGTCGAGGTTTTAAAGCTCATGGCTGTTAAACCGAAACGGCCCGAGTTCAAAACCCCTGGCAGAAGACGCCCGATAGCTGGGGACAGCAAATCATCTAGGAGAGACAACTCCAAAATAAGACAACTGCTGCCTTGTAGTTTATTGTTGAATGGACAAAGGCAATGTAAGCAAATCCAGAAATAAAAACAGGCTAGCGTCGGAGTTTACGTCCTTAATGGCATAGTATGTTGACACGTCATGCAGAGGATGTGGAAAGGAAGATCGATGGAGATAAATAATGATTACAGGAAATCGTTGGTCATCAATAGAGATTACTTGTGATTAAGTAAGTTTCCCTTTCAAACCTGACGGTCTATGTGGCTAGTTTACTTGTTTCTGTGACCACGGAATATAAAGAGATAGTGTGGTCAGCACTATGCCCAGCAGCCTTTACTCTCCCTAACGTGAGTTAGGTACCCATCAGAGTTGGGTGGACTCAGGTACGGTCTACTGACTTGAACCCGGATTCGAACTTGAGACTTAAAGTTAGCAGTACAGCTCTCTACCACTAGACCACTCCGTCTTACTTGTGATTAGTCGTTATAAATAGTGATGTATCTTATCGTTGGTGAGAAAGTGTCATTGATGGGGATCTTTTGTGATCACGAACGATTGAAAGTGATCAAGAGTGATAGATGGTGGCAGTGTTTCTTCCAGACTATTTTCTCCGGTGGGGGTTGGGATACTTGATATTTTCGGGGGGGGGGGGGGGGAAGGAGGGGGCGGACAACATTTTCCGCGGACGGACACGTAAAAAAATATATTTTCTATTTAAATTACATTTTGTTCGGGGGGGGGGGGGGTCAGAAGAAACTCTGGTTGGTGGTCGTTGGTGTTAAGATAAGAGTGATTGATCTTAGTATTGGGGAAAATTAATTAATTGGGCATCGTATATGATCGAGAGCGATTGAAAGTGAGCACGAGTGATTGATGGTGATATTTTGTTATCACGAGCGATCGATGGTAATCAATAGTGATAGATGGTGGTTGTTGGTGACAAACGGTGATTGATCTTATAGTTGGGGAGAAAATGTAATTAATGGGGATCTGTTTTGATTACGAGCGATTAAATGTGTTCAATAGTGATAGATGGTGATTGTTGGTGATCCCGAGCGATCGATAGTTATCAAGAGTGATAGATGGTGATCGATGATAATGTAGAGTGTGAGATAGAAAAACGTAAAGACCTTCATTTCTTTGACGTACATCTCACGGTGGGAGGTGGCATCACAGTTGCTAACAAGCCAAAAGGCAGTCTTCGTCTTGTTTTTGGCTAGAGCGTCTGTTGGACGGGTTACAAGAAAACATCAATGATCCATTTACACATTTTATCAAATAAAACTTACTATCCAAAAGCCAGTCGTTGTCTTGTTTTTGGGTAGAGTGTCTGTTGTACGTGTTACAAGAAAACATCAATGATCTATTTATTTACATTTTATCAAACAAAAATAACAATCTAAAGGGCTCTTTTAGTCTTGTTTTCGGCTACAGCGTCTGTTGATCGGGTTATAAGAAAACGTCTGTGATCTATTGACATCTATCTATATACTACTAAAAGTCAAGTTTGTTTACATGTTTGAATATTTATTTGTTTGTTTGCCTGATCGAAAATTGTGATATGTTCGACTCTACCTGGAAAGCTGTAAAATGGTATGCAGGTAGAGAATAATTTTTTAATGCAGACAGACTGTTAATCACAAATTTATTTAAAGACGTTAATTAATTTATTGATTTATTCCTACGCAGAATAACCCATTTTTTTTTAAAATGTTAAAACCTTGACTAAACTTTGTGGGAATAGTGACGTCACAGGTTTTTGTTTACTCTTTAGTACAATAAAATGGCGGCGTCTTTTGAAGAAAATTGTGTTCCCATTCAAAAGTTTAACGCGTTCTAAATCTAATTTTCTGTCGGTCATAACTTTAACAATACGTCCGTTTGCTGTATTTATTACGTCCCAACACTTATATCAATTTTCAACTGTCTTTTTCATTTAGTTTTACGATAAATTTCTCTAGATCTAAAGATCAGCTATCGAAGGAAATTTATGAATCTAGCCTAGATCTAGATCTAGCCTAGATGTAGGTCACTAGATTCAATGTAAATTCTACATCTAGAATCTATTTCAGGCCTTAATTATTTTATATAAATCTTTGTTTGGCTTATTTAAGATAAAATTTAATTTGAAAGTTAGTACTACTAGACTTATTTTTAGATCTAGATCTAGAATCTATACGCGTAAATCAAGTTGCATAAGGAGACACATAGTATAGTATAAAAATTCACTTGTGACGACACGAGTAAATAGCTAAAATGGTAGCGTAGTCAGCTCTCATGCAGGAGGCACGGGTTCTAGACCAATATGTCAATGAAATTTTTTTTTTCAATTTTTTTTTTTAGATGTGAATGATAACGTTGCCTATCTGAACTTGGCAAGATACAGGGCAGGTGAAGTAGAGTTCATCTGTTTCTTTGTCCTAAGCATATGAAAGGATAGTGTGGTCAGATACATGCTCGGCTGGAATTGTTTTTTAAACGATAAAAACATGTTGTCTGAGACTTGGCAGGACACTGGGCAGGTGAAGTAGAGTTGAGTAGGTCACCTGTGACGTCAGTTTATGAAGGGATAGTCCGAAATCGGTGTTTTCGGTGTTTTTAAAAGATAAAAAACATATATTTGAATGTGGGGTCTGTTTTTTGTGACGATAAGTGACACTGCAGTAGCGTACCGAGGAGGGGGGGGGACGGTAGGGGAGGGGAGGCGGGGGGTGGGGAGGGGAGGCGGGGGGTGGGGAGGGGAGGGGAGGCGGGGGGGGGGAAGGGGGGGTGGGGAGGTGGAGGGGGGAAGGGGTGGGACATATGTTGGGGCGCCAAAATGGTTTGGAAAAATAAATTGATAGGTTGAGGGGGGTTCAAATCGAAAGTTTGAGTGGGGGGGGGGGGGGTGCACATCAAAAGTTTGAGGGGGGGGGTTCAAATCGAAAACTTTGTCCCCGGGCGCCGGGAAGGGTCGCTATGCCTCTGAGTGACAGACGTGATGTTTTTTGATGGATGACCCCCGAAACCCACAGTTATCCAACGGATGACGGGTATTCTAGTATACTACTAAAAGTCAACTTTGTTTACATGTTTGAATATTTATTTGTTTGCCTGATCGAAAATTGTGATATGTTCGACTCTATCTGGAAAGCTGTAAAATGGTATGCAGGTAGAGAATAATTTTTTAATGCAGACAGACTGTTGATCGCAAATTTATTTAAAGACGTTAATTAATTTATTGATTTATTCCTATGCAGAATAACCCATTTTTTTTTAAAATATTTGAAAAGCCACTAGACTCGGCGGGACCGTGACGTCACAGGTTTTTGTTTACTCTTTAGTACAATAAAATGGCGGCGTCTATCGAAGAAAATTGTGTTCCCATTCACAAGTTTAACGCGTTCTAAATCTAATTTTCTGTCGGTCATAACTTTAACAATACGTCCGTTTTCTGTATTTATTACGTTCCAACACTTATATCAATGTTCAACTGTCTTTTTCATTTAGTTTTACAATAAATTTCTCTAGATCTAAAGATCAGCTATCGAAGGAAATTTATGAATCTAGCCTAGATCTAGATCTAGCCTAGATGTAGGTCACTAGGTTTCTATGTAAATTCTAGATCTAGACTTAATGTAAATTCTACATCTAGAATCTATTTCAGGCCTTAATTATTTTATATAAATCTTTGTTTGGCTTATTTAAGATAAAATTTAATTTGAAAGTTAGTACTACTAGACTTATTTTTAGATCTAGATCTAGAATCTATACGCGTAAATCAAGTTGCATAAGGAGACACATAGTATAGTATAAAAATTCACTTGTGACGTCACGAGTAAATAGCTAAAATGGTAGCGTAGTCAGCTCTCATGCAGGAGGCACGGGTTCTAGACCAATATGTCAGTGAAATTTTTTTTTTCAATTTTTTTTTTTAGATGTGAATGATAACGTTGCCTATCTGAACTTGGCAAGATACAGGGCAGGTGAAGTAGAGTTCATCTGTTTCTTTGTCCTAAGCATATGAAAGGATAGTGTGGTCAGATACATGCTCGGCTGGAATTGTTTTTTAAACGATAAAAACATGTTGTCTGAGACTTGGCAGGACACTGGGCAGGTGAAGTAGAGTTGAGTAGGTCACCTGTGACGTCAGTTTATGAAGGGATAGTCCGAAATCGGTGTTTTCGGTGTTTTTAAAAGATAAAAAACATATATTTGAATGTGGGGTCTGTTTTTTGTGACGATAAGTGACACTGCAGTAGCGTACCGAGGAGGGGGGGGGGGGACGGTAGGGGAGGGGAGGCGGGGGGGGGGGAAGGGGAGGCGGGGGGTGGGGAGGTGGAGGGGGGAAGGGGGGGGGCGGGGGGGGACATATGTTGGGGCGCCAAAATGGTTTGGAAAAATAAATTGATAGGTTGAGGGGGGTTCAAATCGAAAGTTTGAGTGGGGGGGGGGGGGTGCACATCAAAAGTTTGAGGGGGGGGGGGTTCAAATAGAAAACTTTGTCCCCGGGCGCCGGGAAGGGTCGCTATGCCTCTGAGTGACAGACGTGATGTTTTTTGATGGATGACCCCCGAAACCCACAGTTATCCAACGGATGACGGGTATTCTAGTATATTTTATGAAAAAAAAACAACTAACAACCCAAAAGGCAGTCTTCGTTTTGTTTTTGGCTAGAGCGTCTCTTGAACGGGTTATAAGAAAACATCAGTGATCCATTTACATTAATTTTATCAAATAAAAGTAACAAAAATATCAACAGATCAAGCCGTGGAAATGTGTTGCTATAGATCTAGAACCTTTTGACTCAGGGACACAATCTAACCACATTATAACTTCATATGACTAGGTTACTCAAACAGTTTTTCTTCTTCTTCGTTCTTGATTTTTTTTTAAATTGATGGGGGTTCGAACTCTGGACTATTCGATTTAGCTGACATGAACTTTACCCACCCGACCTCGTCGACCCCTAAAAGAGATGAACTCTACTTCACCTGACCCATGACTGTAAGGTTCGCAAAGGTACTTTATTTAGACTTATTGAACTTGATCTGCTTCATGTTGTTTAGAATATTATATGACAGCAGCATGGGAAAAGTCCTTCACCAAAACAATAAACTAAATTAAGTGATTTTGAAACTAATGTAATTGAGACATATTTTGACACCTTATGACCTCGGCATATAAAGGGATAATGTGGTCAGCAATATGCCCAGCCGCCTTTACTTTCCTTAACGTGTGTTTTTAGTTGTAAGAAAAAATGTTGTGTGTTTTTAGTTGTAAGAAAAAATGTATGAAAATGGCGTATGTTGTAAGTTAGGTACCCATCAGAGTTGGGAGGATTCAGTGACGTTCCACTAACTCGAACCCGGATTCGAACTCAAAACTATTGGGCTAGCAGTCTAGCGCTCCACCGCTAGGCCACGCCGTCCCATACTATATACTAAGACTACTCTGTATATAAATCGTTTTAAACAGTTAGTCATATTCGTTATATACTGACTTACGCTCAGGGAACTATTAAATATACCAACTGTCACAAGCATGATCCTATTTTATTGATTGCTAAAATCGATATTAGGTTTTTTAATCTAGATCAATATATTATATTAAAATAGCATTACCAATTTAATGTGTTTTTACTAGTAAATTTAAAACTTCGGTGAACTAATCGAAAATCTGCAGCACTCTTTAATAAAGGCACGAGGAAAAACTAAACAGCTTTACTATCGATAAGTGCGAATTGAATAGGTTCGTATTGATTACCATATATTTATATGTGCAGCAGGTGGAACTTCGATTTTTTATATCTTAGTTTTTTTTTTTTTTTTTAGATCTATAGACAAGGAGAATGTGGTTTTAGAAATGTACATCCAGCTCGCTCGTTTAAATTTAGCTTTCATTACATGATGTGAGTGTACTCAGTTCTGATGAGTACCTAACACACACACTATAGGTCATTTGCTTTAAGTATTTTTATGTATGAAAGTTGAAATTTACTGACGAAACAATCAATACAGAAACAGAGTTTAAAGAAGCAGATAAACTCTACTTCAACTATCATATTGGCAGCGTACAGTCCGACTTTAAAAAAAAAAAAGCAGTATTTTATTCATAGTGGGCTTTACAACATCTATTAACAGCTGGTGACTTAATTATGGAATATATAATTTGTCTAGTAACGGGGGGGGGGGGGGGTAGGGAAGATTATAAAACAACAGATGAACGAATGACTTAAATAACCTGTAACAGCCTGTTGGGGGATGGGATTGGGTGGGGTTTGCAAAAGATCGCTCTCAGAAGAAAAAAAAACGTAATCGGAAAACTACGCAATGGAAATCTGCGCAAACAAAAAAATGCGCAAACACAATATATTTATACAAATACACTTTAATTTTTTAAAATATATTTTGTGAAAAAGTGACTTATGCTACAATATGCATGTCATCGTTCTTTGTTAATGTCTATACATACAGAAATGTGCTGGAGGGGAATAGCCAGTTTAGGGTTTTTTTTTGGTTGGGAGGGGGAGTATATGACAGATGAGTGAATCAGAGGCGTAGCGCGGGGGGGGCGGATGGTACATATGTCTCTGGGTGCCGACCTTAGTGGGCGCCAAAATGGGTTGTAATAACAAATTAAAATATCATTTTAGCTGTAGTTTTGCAATATAAATATAAAAAAAATATATATATACGGGGGGGGGGGGGGTGCAAATTGAAAGTTTTACGGGGGGGGGGGGTGCAAATTAAAAGTTTGAGGGCAGGGGGTGCAAATTGAAAATTGAAAGGTTGTTTCGAGGGGGGCGCCAAATTGAAAGTTTGTCCCCGGGAGCCGGGAAGGGTCGCTACGCCTCTGGAGTGAATGTAAGCGTACAACTTAGAAAATAAGGGTGAGGGAGTGGTCGTATAAAACGACAATATGACTTACAATAATCCGGCTTAGCCCGTGGGTCAGGTGGGGTGTACAACAGGTGCCCGTAGGGTGAGAACATGTCCGCATCGACCCTATAGGTCATGGTCAAGTTGAAGGCCGAATTCCATTCGGAGGTTTGACCTGAGTCTGAATATAGTGAAATGTAATTCATTAACTAAAAAAAAAAAACAATATTCAATTAATAAAATTTAAACGCTATTCAAATATGTCTTCAAAACACAGCAACAATCATTTAATGAAACAAAAACAATTTTTGGTTTTTTGTTTACTTTAAAAATTAGAAGCGAACTTAAGTGTTACTTTGAGACACTTTTTCTTTTGGGGGAGGAGGGGATGGAGTTGGAAAGAGGGGGGGGGAGTCATTTGAAACATCCGGGATTTGCGTGATTTAAATAAAATTCGAGGTTGTGGAGGGAGGGGGATGATGGCGTACACAGGTTAAATTATATAATTATTTTGTATATACATTAAATGATTTGATATTAGGTCCGGGTGTGTGTGTGCGTGAGTGTGTGGGAGGGAGGTGGGGTGTTGGTGGGGGGGAGGGGGGTTCTAACATTCGAGGTACTAGGCGACGGGGTGGATGTCTTAAAGATGCACTGACCTTGACACCTGTCGATGATGTCTTAAAGAAACAGTGACCTTGACTCACCTGTAACGGAATTAAACATGTGCACAGGTGACTCCCACGCCGTGGCCACGTACAGCTGATGCGGCCACCTCGGCGGCATCACCACCGTAAACGCCAGCTCCACCACATCTACCACCACCACTTCCGTCTTCTCCGTGATTAACTCCCCGTCGAAGATACAGTTCTTGTAAGGGCAGTAACTGAAGTTAAAGTGGTCACTTTCAGTCACCCAGGACGGCATACGCATAGCAGCTATTCTGATTTTCTTGGTGGCTGAACCACTTGCTCGAATCTTTGTGGGAACACGATCCTTGCACCAGACAAACGGGGTCGGCAGGCAATCGAAAGTAAAATTACCGTTAACTTTGGGAACTTCCGATGTTCTGGGAATTTCCAAAGCATTGGGTTTTTCCGATTGTGTTGGTTTTCCCGTTGAAACTGATATCGAAGTTGTGTCTGGTTTTTCCTTTGTTTGGGGGAGATAAATCACACGAGGACTGTCTTGCACACCTGTTGCCTCCGTTATGTAATGTGTGACAGGTAAAACTTTATCCAGGGGCGTGTCACGGAATCGTTGGAGGTTGAGGTACCTCCTCTTGTCAACGACGCTGAAGTTGGCCACATTCAAAACAAAACTCAAGGCGAGAACGGTACCTAGGGCTATAAGCGCACACACAAAGTATATTCTTCGAATAGGAAAGCTGAAAAAGCATGGGGGATCAATGTTTTGTATGAATTTAAAATGCAACAACATTACATACACAGACATTAATGAATATGTATACATACATACATACATACATGCATATATATCCTATATATATATCCTCTTTAGACTCAACAATCCATTGGGCAGATGAAGTAAAGTTTATATGTTTCTTGACCTCGGCATATAAAGGTACAATTTGGTCAGCACCATGCCCAGCCTCATTTACATTCCTACAGGTAAGTCAGGTAGGCCTACACTACAGAACTAGGTGGACTGAGGGATCTTACAGTGAAAGGTCATAATTAAGATCTGACCTTGGAGCTAGCGGCCAAAACGCTCATTCATTCGACCACTCTTTTTCTGTGTCTACGTATAGCTATGTGTAAAGTTCCCTTTCGGACCCGCATTATTCAAGTGAAGTAGAGTTCCCGTGTTTCTGTGACCTCGGTATATGAAAGGATAGTGTATTAGCACGATGCCAATTCGCCTTTTAAAAAATACCTAACGTGAGCCAGGTATTCATAGACTCAGTAACTCTGCGGAATCGAACAAGGGTTGGAACTCGATACTTCCTTTTTCGCTGTTCTATACTCTAGTATTTGACCATCCCATAATTGAACAAGTGTTGACTTCACCTTCCCTTCATATGCCGAAGTCAAGAAACATATGGACTCTATCTGTCCAATTGATTGCTAGGCCTAAAGAACATTCTTCTACATTTTCCATATATGGCTGTGTGTATGACAAATCGATGCGACAAGATGAATTATAAGTACATTGATTTAAACAGCTGTGTAACACCGCAAACCTTACACCACCCCGCCCTCACTGTAAAATGATTGATTTTATAATGATGTATTTAAAATATTATGAGTAAATTAAGGTATACATTACTAGATGTTTAAATAATTAAAGTAATAAAAACAATATATTTAAGGTTAAAATCGATTATTACTAGATGTTTTCCATTAACGTTGTAATATTCGGGTTAATAGACCAACTGTGTTATATTTAGTTGTTAAGGGAAGGTGTATCTCCAATGTTTAGTTGTGAGTGGATGGTGGAACATCTAAGTTTAGCTGGAGTGGATGATGGAGCATCACTGTTTAGTTGTAAGTGTATGGTGGAGCATCTATGTTTAGTTGGGAGTGGATGGTGGAGCATCTATATTTAGTTGGGAGTGGATGGTGGAGCATCTATGTTTAGTTGAGAGTGGATGGTGAAGCATCTATGTTTAGTTGAAATTGGATGGTGGAGCATCTATATTTAGCTGTGAGTGGATGCCGGAGCATCTATATTTAGCTGTGATGGAACGGTGGAGTATCAGTGTTTAGTTGGGAGTGGACAGTGGAGCATCTATATTTAGTAACGAGGGAAAGATGAAGCATCTATGTTTAGTTGGGAGTGGATGGTGGAACATCTATATTTAGCTGGAGTGGACGGCGGAGCATCTATATTTAGTTGGACTTGGATGGTGGAGCATCTATGTTATTTGGGAGTGGATGGTGTATCATCTACATTTTGCTGGAGTGGATAGTGGAGCATCTATATTGAATGGATTTATAAGTTAGAATATCTATGTACAAATTGTTAATCAGCTAACTTAAAATTGCATGTACATCAGCTTAGTTTAAGGTTTATCAATACATTGGGTGTTTTAATAAAGAAAACTGAAACGTAATTGTTTAAGCCCAAATATGGATTTTTTTTTATTCATATTTTAAATTGGATTTTCCGAACGGCAACCGCTGTGTTTAATATAAAGTTTGATCATTATTTTTCGTCGTGTATGAAAAATGTTTTAGGCGTGTATGAAACATGTTTTTGACGTGTAGGAATCATGTGATTTTGGCGTGTATAAAACGTGTTTTTGTCGTGTATGAAACATGTTTTTGTCGTGTATGAAACATGTGGTTTTGGCGTGTATGAAACATGTGTTTTTGGCGTGTATGAAACATGTGGTTTTGGCGTGTAAGAAACATGTGTTTTTGGCATGTATGAAACATGTGTTTTTGGCGTGTATGAAACATGTGTTTTTGGCGTGTATGAAACATGTGGTTTTGGCGTGTAAGAAACATGTGTTTTTGGCATGTATGAACCATGTGTTTTTTGCGCGTATGAAGCATGTGTTTTTGTCGCGTATGAAACATGTGGTTTTGGCGTGTTAGGCCTATGAAACGTGATTTTGTCGCGTATGAAACATGTAATTTGGCGTGTATGAAACATGTGTTTTTGACAGCTTTTCTTTATTACTGGCCGTAACATAAAATGAATACTTCAAAGACATAAAGTTTTCAGAAATTAGAGTTATTATTTTTAATAATTTTTTAGAATCAAAGGTATAAAATTACTTTTGGCTTTTGTCGCGGCCTCAGTAGGCCTACATCGCGGAATGTTTAAAAATGTTACAATTTTTGTATGTTACTTATACAACTAATATTTGATTTACATGTCTGAAACTATTCTTAATGATCCAACGATAACATATGGAATTATGTTAAATTACACATACATAAACAATGTATGTTTGTTAAAAATGAGAGGGTAACATACATACATAAACAATGTATGTATGTTAAAAATGAGAGAGTAACACTACTCCGCGGTTTTTCAATAATCGCGGTCGGATCTTGTCCCTATTTACCGCGATAACTGAGGGATGATTGTGTGTAAAAACACTGTGATCGCATTTCTGTACTGTCAAGAACATTCATGGGATACTTCCGTTCAGATTACATCGCGATTTTCGCTGTTGAATAAAAATATCTAGATCTAATTTAAATAAAATAAACCGGGAGTGATCTCCCCTAAACTTTCTCGAATATTTTTATATAAAATAACAGGGGATGGGAACTCGGGCTATTGACATGATTTTTAATCCATTTTAAATACTTAAAGTTTTAAAAATAGAATAAAATCTCGTAGACAAATTAATTGCACACCAAGTGAACGCGAAATAAAAAAGCGCATAATAGTGCGCAATATTATTAGTACTTTTAAAATTTACATTAGTTTTTTGAGAAATCGGAAGTAGCGTAAATTACTACTTCCGGTCAACGGAAATTACTCAAAATTTAACAGAAGGTAGAGAGTTAGATCTTTTACTTACATGTGAAATTTCATGTATCTATCTGAAATAGTACTCAAGTTATAGGCTTTTGAAAAATTCAAAGTAGAAAAAGTACCACTTCCGGTTGTGGGAAATCGCTCAAAAGTTGATACGGATCTACGATTTTGATATAATACTTATATATGAAATTTCATCAACCTAGCTGTAACGGTACTCAAGTTATCGTGTTTACACACGGACACACAGACACACAGACACACACACAGACATACGGACAAGATTGCAAAATTATGTTTTTCCGTATCAGTGAGGTGTAAAACGTCGAGATTTGTAAAAATCTCGATTTTTTTTTTTGCACGATTACAAGACTTTCTCTATACTACGTATATACGAGAAAGTAAAAAGTTAAAGCCAATACTTTACGCACATTTTCGGTAAATCCCTAAAATTTATTTTTGGATGAACTAGTTTCGCCATGTTTGTTTACATTTTACAATTGTAAAGTTTTTTTTAAATAAATTGTTGTTTATTTACAGAAAATACTCTTAAGGAAAAAAAACTACATTTTATAATAGTCATACAAAAGCCTCACAATCAATGTTCTATAACTACTACCAAAATAACATAGCACACGATTTTAAAAATAAAACGACAACAATCTTCGCGAGAATGTCAAGCTTAATGGCATTATAATTATTGTTTTGTAAAATTGTAAATAACCAAAAAATATACATATATACGTATTTGATACCGAATAGGTTTAGATCTTTTCATATCGTAAAACAATTCAGATAGATAGTACAACTATGCAGAACTGGAGTGACCAGTTGATATTTTACCATTGGAGATTCATTATCTAAGTAGGCGATAAGGTATTAAAGCGATACAACTGGAAAACAGTGTTCATACTATTTACCCACACAATAAGTGTCGCGTTCATTAGTGGTGCGTTTTAGTGGAATGCTGACTTTGAAGCTGCGCATTTCTCAATGTATGCGTAATTTTAGAGTTATAGGATTATTATTAATTACGAGAAAAATGGCCCGTTGAGGAAGGGTACAACGGGCGCTAGGCTGATAGTGCTGTCTCTTTTCTCTAAACTAAAACCAACCCACCCCCCCACACACCACCCCCACCCCAACCCCCACCCCCACACACCACCCCCCACCCCCACTCCCCACCACACACCACCCCCACCCCCACACACCACCCCCTCCACACACCGCCCCCCACCCCCCACCCCCCACCCCCACCCCCCCCTCCACCCCCCCAAAAAAAACATGTCTACCGTCCCATTCAACGAAATATAATTATATACTTTTTCCAGTGTCCGCCCCCTCCCAGAAAATTCTACCCCCGCCCCCTAAAATTTCAAGTACCCCCACCCCTCTCCGGGGAGGAAAAAGTCTGAAAGAAACACTGAAACCAACCCCCCCCCCACCCCTCCACCCCCCCCCCCCCCCCAAAAAAAAACATGTCTACCGTCCCATTCAACGAAATATAATTATATGCTTTTTCCAGTGTCCGCCCTCTCCCAGAAAATTCTACCCCCGCCCCCGAAAATTTCAAGTACCCCCACCCCTCTCCGGGGAGGAAAAAGTCTGAAAGAAACACTGAAACCAACCCACCCCCCCACACACCACCCCCCACCCCCACACACCACCCCCCCACACACCTCCACCCCCCCCCCCAAAAAAAAACATGTCTACCGTCCCATTCAACGAAATATAATTATATACTTTTTCCAGTGTCCGCCCCCTCCCAGAAAATTCTACCCCCGCCCCCGAAAATTTCAAGTACCCCCACCCCTCTCCGGGGAGGAAAAAGTCTGAAAGAAACACTGAAACCAACCCCCCCCCACCCCCACCCCCCCCCCACCCCCACACACCACCACCCCCCACACACACACCACCCCCCCCCCA